CACGGTCGTGAAGTGAGGGGCTGTGATACTGCAGCCACGTCGGCTGCACTCCATGAGTCCAGGTTATGAACGTCTGAACATTTTGCTCCATCATGACTTGACCCCTCAAGACTGCATGACAAGCAAAGCAAAGCAAAGAATCCGACACAACTCACAACACACAAGAAGATTTTTACGGCACAAGCTCTGCGGAGCTCACCGGAGTCTAGTTGCGTGCCTCAAGTTGCTGGTAGACCTTCCAGGCATGCTTGACTTCCTCCGCGGTCTTCTGGAGGGAGCGGGCAATAGTCTTGTAGGTGGGCCTCGCGTCCTTGTCCCTTTTTCGCCTGACCATCTCATCCAATTCCCCTTGCGTCCATGCCGTGAATGGTTCATGGTATGCATTGCGGAGGGCTATCGTGAACTCTTGCAGAAGTTCACGAGGACCATGCACCACTGTGGGGGACGGGCGAAACGACGAAGCACCAGGATGCGGACGGATAGAATGGTCCGAATCAGAGTCCGGGGTAGAGGTAGGTGTCGTCACGGGTCCACGATCGGTGTGTACCGTGATGGCGGGGGGAGCCGGTCCACGAGAGCATTGCTGAGCACACCTCCTGGGCGAGGCTCATGTTGCGCTCCTGGGCCTGGAACTTCACGACGTTCATCACGAGGGGGCGATAGCTCAGGTATGTACCAGGTCGAGGATGTGTCCAGTCCTAGTTCAAGGCGGCATGCGTGATGCGTTCCGTCATGATGCGTGGCCCTAGACCATGCCGCGAGTTGCGTGGCCGTCTGGGCGCCATCCTGGGAGTGTCCAGAGATGTCGAAATTTGTGAGGCAAGAACGTTGAGCACGGCAATCAGGTTGTTCACGAACTCCGGAGAAAGCCACATGGCAACCGTAAGCAATGCAAGGACAACTCAAGCAAAAGGCAGCTGCGAGACAACACAACCTGGGCAAAATGAAGTGCACACCTGCTGCGTCAGAGAGCTGAGTGTCTTTTACCTGGCACCGAACTTCAGCGGCCTCGGAGCAGTTCGGATGGACGACATGCTGGCGTAGCCTTCACTGCAAGAGGAGCTTTCGGCGCGGCACTGCGATATTCTGATGATAGCATGGGGCCGCGACGATTGAGTGGTCGCCTGCGACGACTGCGGCTCCGAGAGCGGTGCTGATGGGGGTCTCCATCGACCGTTTCCTCCTGTTGCGTTCCCTGGATGCACTGTCACTGACGGGCTCAATCAGATCATCATCTTCTGCTAGATTGGTAGACGTGGCTACCAGTGCAATACTGTAAGCATCAATGTGAAGGATGTTCTCGTTGCCAGTGCCTTTGGAGATGTCGGTGCACGCGTCGAAGGCGGCGGCAGCGGTGGAAGTACCTCTGGCGCCGTCGGTGCTGGAGGTACCACAGGAGGAACAGCGGGTGCAGCAGGAGGAAGCGGTGGTTGTGGATGCCTTCAAGGCGTTGTAGTCCAGCCACTAGTATACTGATCTGCGACGAGATGGAGTGTAGTAGGTAACGGCCTTCTTGTAAAATGTCACCGTGATCCATGACGGTTGGGGAACAGGCCGGCAATGGTTCTGTGACGCGATCAGGCATAAACCACAAACTACAGAAGCATCAAGACCCACAAGCAAGCAAACATGCAAACCTTACAATCACGCAACTCTGCAGGCTGATCGGCACAGGATGGACTTTTCCGGAAGAGCAATCCAAGCAGCTGAAAACGTCATGATGAATATCACGAAAAGTCAACTGCCACAAACCGCATATTGTTGCTGCGTGGGAATCGTCGAGTATGCGCCTCACTGGCAGGGCTGTCACAAGGTCATGCAGGAAACAGTCGCCAGAACATCCCCACGCAGCTTGGGACCGCAATAAATGATCGAAGTTTCCACCTACCATCTTTGGCTTGAATGCATTCATAGTAGTGGGAAGCGGCAATGTCTGCGTACGTGCCGCCGCGTGGAATCATGCAGTGATGCTGGCGCAAGCGTGCCATTCCTCCGACGCAGCCCTCTGCAATAGAAGCCCATCGGCGGAATCCACACATCGTTCCAGTTGGTGTACTCGTCGTTGGGAGGTGGATGCTTCTGCCATTTCGAAGGTCGGATGAGCTCCTCGTCTTTCAAGATGCCAATGGCGGAAATGACTTCGGTGTTGGGCGCCCAAAAGAACGGCGAGATCGACTGAGTGCGAAGGTTATCCGGTAGCTTGCGGCGCGGCTCAAAGGAGAAGATGATCCCATAGCGATTGTTCCGAGAATCCTTTTTGCCGGGCTGGAAACGGTAGTATGTCCTCGAAGTCTTCTGGATGTACGGCCAGCACTTTTCCAGGACGCCCAACTGAACAATGAGTTGCTCAGGCAAATTGTCTACAGCGATGTCAAACTCCCGGGAGATCTCACGGATGACCTCAGTGGTCCAAGCTCCTGGGTTGCCATGCGGGAGTCTCTCTGCTGCCAGCTCCGAGACAGATCTCACTCTGTGCTCATCCCGGATGATGTTCTCACGGTGCGGCATGAGGCTCCGGCACACTGTCTCCCAAGACTGCTTCCATTTGGATGGGTCAGGATAGACACTCCGCAATGCAAGGAAGGGTGTAGTACAAAACCTCGTTGATACGTATGGCAATTTCCTCAACCTGACAGCCCGGGCGAGGCACGAAGTGATGGCTGCCCAGTGATGGTGCCGAAGCGCACACGAAGCTGAATGAGGTCAACCGTGTGCGTCGGATGGTCGGTCCTGCTGTTCGAAGCGGCTGGTGGCGCTGATGGCGACCGAGGTCGCCTACGGTCCTCATGACTCCGGCGACCACTATGTGTCCATTCGCCCCAGTCATCATCATCTTCGGATTTGCCACGAGGCCCAGGGGTAAGCCTAACCCGAGATCGGCGAGGCACTGGGGAGCGTGAGCGCGTTGTTGTCCGGTCTTGCATCGCATGGGCGGTGCGCGAGGAGCTGTGGCTCTGAACATTCCGCAGATGCACCATGCCGTGCGTCTGTACGAAAAGCTGCACCTCATTGATGAAGCTAGGGAACTGGTCCAAGGTGACCTGACTGGTGGTCTGGACTGTCCCATCCGGGCGCAATAGGCTGCTCACCGTGTAGACTGCATGAGGGGGCCGTCTAGTCGAGTCAGCAACCTCAAGCTGAATGGGATGCGCCGACGCCATGCCAATAGAAGGATAAGCACAGACAAACAAACAACCACAAAGTCCGAGCCAGCTCCAAACCATGCACACATGCGCACAATCACACATGAGCAATCGCAAGTGAGCAAAGACATCAACAATGCAAATCGGATCAACATGCTCATTTGGTTCCACTCTTCGGCGAACATCTCTCAACAAATCCGGGTTGAAGCCTTTGGCTTCATAAAAACGTTTGAGGGCATCGAGACCCACTTGTTGTTGGATTGCTGGTTGAGCTCCACGCACAATGAGCCACGATCTGGATGACCACGAGGAGTAAGTAAACATCTGATCATTGGCGCTTCGAATACCTTTGATCTGAGACGGATGATCGGGCAGCTGTGGTGTGATAGTCCTGGAGGCTGAGTCACACATGTGCCCAAGCACTTCGGTGTCATTTTGCGTCTCCAGCATGACTGGAGGACGACAAAATTCCAGTGACAGAAAGTTTCGAAGGACTGCTGTCGAAGGCGCTGCATCCCGCAAAAGTATGAAGCGATTGTCGACATAGCGCTCGTGCCAGATCACACCAAAGTCTGGCATTTGAAACCTAAGCGTATCCATGGTCTGATGCCAGAAATAGTCCTCAACCGTAGCAACGAGATTGCACAGAGGAACAAGTAGCCATTGATCTCGAAGTGACTGTTGTCAATGACGAAGTCGAGGAGACACTGTAGGTCTTCTTCGCGAAAAAAAACCGGGGGACTTTTGTTTGACGGCGCCATTTTCCTTTAAACATGCGACGCCGATGATCAGACTTCACTTCATAGACCGACCAGTGTGATGCGTTGCGTGGACCCACCACCTGATCATAGCGATGAAGTAGAACCTGGAGAGCTTGGTGAAAACGTTCAGTGGGGATTGATGTGAAGAAACCGGACAGGTCTTGTGACACCAACTGTATGTACTCCGTAGGGTCTGCGGACGACAGCGCACCCCAGAGTTGTTGTACCAGCTCCTGAAGAACGTCCGGAAAGGTGATTTTTGGTGAGCTCAAAGATGAGGGCGCCGAAGACCGTGAGAAGAGGCGCAGCCCACGCGCGAAAGAAAGAAATGATTGGTCTCCAGTCTTTGGTCGGTTTGGGCAGGGTGCGAGCGGTGGGAAGGGGTGCATGAAGTCGCAGCCCCCATGCATAGCGGTGTTGTAATCGAGAAGGTATCATAGTCACGACTTCGGCACGAAAGGATGCGGCAGACTCGCGGCATAATGCAAATACTTTGGGCGTTTTCAAAAAAGCCTGTGAGAGGCCTCCTAGGAAACGCGACAACAATGTTCTTTAGGAGCAAACAATGTTCTTTAAATTGTTTTGGAATGTTTTTAAATTAAGTTTTCGTGGAAACAAACAAGTTATCTTATTAACAAGAAGTTTCTGCAACTTCTTTTTTAACATGAAACAATTTAACAGAATATGTCATGTTGTTTAAACAACTTGTTTTTTCGTGAGATAATGTTTATGGAAAGTTTTGCATTTTAGCTTCGTTTGCTTGTAGGCAGCGCAAGGTTACATTCTTGATTACACAGTAGTTTTTTTTGGCTGGCAGCAGGTTCCCTCGGGGCGAGTGGCCAGGGTAACAGCAAAACGCTTGCTAGAGAGGAGGTGCAAGATGAGGTTAAGGGAGTAGGCAGGCAGGAAGCGCTAAGTCTCTTTTTTCCTGAATCAGCTTGTGGCCGGCGCGTGCTGTAGCACGTGGCTCGAGTGGGCGGCGCCGCTCATGGCAGCCCGGCCTCTCGACTTCGGTGATGTCTTACGCCTGGTGGAGCAGTACGGCAGCCTGGAGCCCGAGCTGTCAGAGCGAAGCGAGCGGGGCCAGGGCGGAGGCAACTCGGCTGCTGGCCCGGCTGAAGGAGCAGCGGGGTGCCGGCGTGGCCGAGGTCGCAAAAGAGCGGCCGCGGGCCAGGCGGAAGAAGCAGGAGATGCGGAGGCAGAAGAAGCGGAAGGCGAAGCTGAGCAAGCTGCAGGTGGCCCAGGCGAAGCTGCGGCCGCCCGGCGTGGCCGTCGGCCGGCACTGCGGCGCCTGGCAGTAGGACCCAGGCGCCAGCAGCAAGCCCAGAATGCTGTTCGCCGCCGGGGACAAGCTGCGGAGCAGCTGAAACAGAAGCAGCTGGCGCTGCAGGGCAAGAGCTTCAACAAAAGCGGGCGTGCTCGAACGAGCGATCACCGAATGCCAGGGCGCGACCTGGGCCGAGCTCAAGCTGCCGGCCGCGGTGCCTGGAAGACTTGGACGCCAGAGGCGGTGCTTCGCGCAGGGTTTGGCTCGGAGAGCGCCACGGCAAGGCAGATTGCAAAGGAAGTGGAAGGGGCTTCTGCCGCCCAAGCTCTGATGGCCCGTCAGACTTGCGCCGCGGCAGTCCTTAGTGCCCAGCAAGAAGGGTGTGAGCGGCTTGTCGAGAAATCGCGCAATGAGCCCATTTCTTTCTTCATCCGCAACTTGATGTTCGACGAAAGCACGTTCGATCTGAAGGTTGGGAAGGACCCTGTGAGCGCTTGCTCGCTGCTGTGCTCACACGCGCAGTGGACTTTGGGGAGGGCCAGCGCGGCGGGCGACGGGCGCGCGGGAGCTCATGTGCAAGATGAGCGCGTTGTGCGCGCGCCGCAGGTTCTGGCGCCCATGAACTCTGCGACCATGTGGAAGACCTTGTCTGACCACGCAGGTGGAGCGGGGGCTTGCAGCGTGTGCGCCGACCACACCTGCACGGTCACAACCTCTGACGCGCACGCAGCAAATATCAAGATGCTGAAGCATCTTGATTCGGCGCAAAGCCCCGACCAGCTGTTCTTGCCCCTACTCTGCACCCAGCATAGAAATGGGAACGTTGTAGAACAGCTCACCCATCTTTTAGGCAACCTCGGGGGCTGCTTCTGTGTCTCGCGCGTCTTGACTTCTAGACACGCCTTGCAAGTTTTGAGGCGGAGAGCTGCCGCAGCGCTGGATGCGAGGCTGCAGCTCCTGCAAGCAGAGCCCGCTGGCGTGCAGGCTGAGTGGTCTCGAGCGCGGTCGCAGACCCGGCAGTTCCTGGCTTTGTGCAGCATGTTCGAGGCCAGCGCCCAAGACGACGCAGGCCACGACGGAGAAGACGAAGGTCTGCGACCTGGGCTTGCAGAGCTGGAGAGCTTCTTCAATGGGCCGTGGACAGGACACGTTTTGTTCCTGCGCTTTTGTCACTTTCGTCTAAGATTTTCACTAGTCAGCCAGGCGAACAAGCTGAAGACTATTATTAACTACTAATAGCTGACCTCACGACTTAAGCCCTTCAAGTGTTAGTTATGTGTTGGTCCGGTCTTTGTTGGGGCTCAAGCTTGTGGTATCTCAGTGTTGTCAGCGTTTGTGCTTTGCGGGTTTGCGGCTGGGCGGCTCGAATGCTTGTCCTTCTGGCAGCCTTTTGGTTTTCAGTTTTCAGCTCTGACTGTTTTCGCTCCTCCTTGCCAGCGGCTTTGCCATGGCAGACATGGATGTGGACAGCGCTGCTGGCGGGCCGCTGGCCGGGCAAGGGTCGGGGCCGCAGGCCGGGCTCACGGACCCGCCGCGTGGCAGCAACACCGCGTTCGCCGACTGGGCCAAGTCGGTGGCGCCGGCGGACGCTAGGTACGGCCTGCTGCGGAAGTTTGACTCGCTCGCCAGCGCGGTCGCGGAGGAGTCGCTTCGCGAGCTGCGGTCCACCTTGGTCTCAGACTCCTACGGCGGCGCGCGGGCGGCTGACGTGATCTTCCGCGCGCGGGAGAGCTACAACATGAAGCGCCCAGCCTTGAATGCGTGCTAGATTTCTCTTTCTTTCTTTTTTGTAATCGTCTTCTATTTGAAACATTCTGTGCGTGATGCCTGGTTCGAGTTGAAAGTAGGGGCGCTGTCTACCTAGCGCGGCCGCTGGCCTGGTCTCAAGGCCGCTGGCCTTGTTTCACGGCCGCTGGCCTGGTTTCACGGCCGCTGGCCTGGTCCTGGCACGCAATTATGTTATGATTTAAGTTCGCCCGGCGGCTGTTTGGAGTTGAGACGTCGCCTCTGGCGCAGCCAAGGCACCCAATGCACTTGGCCTTGCGGACCCCTGAGGGGGGGGAACTGTGGATTGGCGGCTTGAACGCGGGCGGGAACGCCGAGCTCCTCCGTGTCAACGGCATCAGCGCCGTGCTCTGCGCAGGGAGCAACGTTTCGGCTGCCAGGGCCGCGTTCATCAAGAACATCGGCACCTTCGATGGAACCGGCGTGTGCCGCGGGAGCATCAAGTGGGCCACAGTGCTGTCTGTGCTGCGCACGGTGGCCAAAGAGCTTGCGGCCGGGGGCCGGGTCTTGGTGGTCTGCAAGAACGGGGCGCATCGCAGTGCTCTGTGGCTGGCGCTGCTTCTGTGCGTCCTGTGCGGGCTCTTGCCCGCCGAGGCGATGCAGCACATGGGAGATTTGCGACTTCGACACCTACCACCCGGGCCACCACCGCTTCCAGAGCCACTGGGAGGCCCCTGTGCGGACGCCGGCCCAGTTCTTGGAGGCGACCTAGACATGTGTTTCGTGTTCTTCACCCCGCGAGAAGGTGATAGAGGGTTTTCAAGGTGATAGGGGGTTTTCAAGGTGATACGCCGTTTCGTGCTGATCACCCCCGTATCGTGCTGATCACCCCGCAGCCAAGCCAAATTTGGAGTGTGAGACTTGGAGTGACCGCGATATAGTTGTGTTGCCATTCTGTAACGCCTTTTGTTAGGGGTTGGCGGCTTTAATTCCTTAAGTCACAACCCCCCAAAACACAAACGCTAAAAAACACGCTGCGGCTGCAGAGCCGTTTTTCGACGGCTCAATTGGGCCGATCCGTTTCGTTGTGGGCCCTGCGCCGCGCCGGCGTGGCGCTTACATCCAAGCACGCATGTGCATATCGATGCGTGTTGCGTGCATGATCATGAGCTTGGCTTAATATTGCCGCCGTTGCATCCGTGGCCGCACTGGCTCAGCCTCGGGCCCGCTGGCCGGCATGCGGCCGGCCGGAGGCGCGACGTGTTCCATTCGCACATTGACTGCGACCATCCGCATGTCGCAGGCGACGAGGCGGCGCGCCAGCGCGAGATCCTCGATCTGGAGCGCCGGATCGAGGAGCTCGTGCGGAGCCTGCCCGGTGGCGGGACCACGGGCCGCGGGCCTGGAGCTCAGATTCGCTGCATCATTGCGCCATGTGACTTAGTCGCAATTTGAGGTACACGTGGCCGCCTGCCGCTGAGAGGCCTCCCGGGAGCTTCGCGAAGAGCTTCGGGACGGCGGCCCAGCGGTCTACGTGCGTCCATTGATCGGTTTCACTCGTTTTCCTGCCAGGCCGCCGCCGCGGCCTTGGCAGTGGCGGCAACCGCCGCTGCAGGCGCCGCTGCAGGCACCGCTGCAGGCGCCGCCCAGGCCAGAGCAGCAGCAGCAGCAGCAGCACCAGCAGCAGCACCAGCTGCACCAGCAGCAGCACCAGCTGCAGCACCAGCAGCACCAGCTGCAGCACCAGCAGCAGCAGCACCAGCTGCCGGAGCAGCAGCCACGCGTGCTGGGCCTTGGGGCCAAGCCTAAGGCGCGTCCGCCGCCGGTCCAGCTTGCGAGGCCGGTGCGAGCGGTTTGGCCGGTGGCCCGTCCAGGGCTCGCTCCCCCGGCCAGATCCTCAGTTGCGCGTTCGTGGTTTTGAACTGCATGCGATTGCGTGGTTGATTAGCTTGATCTGAGGAGCTGCCGAGCCGCAGCCGCAGCCGCAGCAGCAGCAGCGACGCAGGCAGCATCGCTGGCAGTGGCTCAGGCTGTCAACTTCCTTAAGCTTAAAAAGCACATTATATTCATCCTGCTCCTGCGCAGGCTTCACCTCTGCGCGCTGCAGCTCGGGCTCGTCGCCATAGCGGCCGGGCCCTTACATACCATAGCGATCCTTTTTTGTTGCCGGCCAGGTACCGTGACGTGCACGCTGCGCTGGCCGGGCGGCCGGATCGACGATATGAGTGGAAAATTCTGCGCGGGCTGCATGCACGCGCTTGACTCCGCTTGATCTGCTTCCGTGGGTGCTCGAGCGTCCTGCTGATCACCCGAGGCGCATGGCTGGGAGCGGCCGGCGCCTTGTGATCAGCCGCTTGATTGCCAGCACTCTTTGCCTGGCTTATAGCTCGCTCTTGCGCAGGTACAGCCCGGTGCTTCGACGGCGTCGCTGGCGCGGGCCTCATTTTTTTCTTTCCGGTCGTTGCCGCTCGGTCGTCGCCCGTCTCGCTCGCGCAGGTGCTCTTCCTCGCCTTCTGCCGCGGGCCTGTTTTTTTTTTGTTCGTTTCGTTTCGTCGTCGCTCGTCTCGCTCGCGCAGGTGCTCTTCCTCGTCTTCTGGCGCGGGCCTTGGCTTTTTTTTTCTCTTTTTTTTTCGTCTCGTCGTCGCTCGTCTCGCTCGCGCAGGTGCCCTTCCTCGTCTTCTGGCGCGGGCCTTGGCTTTTTTTTCTCGTGTCGTCGTCGCTCGTCTCGCTCGCGCAGGTGCTCTTCTTCGTCTTCTGGCGGGGCCTTGTTTTTTGTTTTGTTTTGTTTTTTTCGCTTTGTCTTGTCGGCCGGCCGTCGTGCAGGTGGGGTCGTCTTCAAAGATCTGGCGCGGGCCTTGGCTCCCTTTTTTTTCCGTCTCGTTGTTCGCCTGGCTGCTTTTTGCGCAGGTGAGTGGCGTTGCTCGTCGATCTGGCGCGGGCCTCGTGTTTTTGGTTTAGGGGGGGGGGCAGCTGCAAGAGCCTTGGCCTTTCAAGGCCCTTTTCCGCCAGATCGAGATGCCTCGCGCTAGGGTGCCGGCCTCGTTTGTTTGACTGCATGAGCAGCCGCCGATTGTGCTACACAGAGGCGCAAGCTCCGCGGTGGCGCTGGTGGCGTGACCTGCAGCCCAGTGCGCCACGTGTTGAGCTGCGCGTGTGTCATTCGCAAATTTAGCTATTGCAGTTTTCATTTTGCACACGACCCAGCTGTCCCGGCTCGGCGATCGTGTGGATCCTGCAGCCAGCTGAAGCTGGTCGAGGATGAGCCGGAGGTGGTCAGCCGCTACGCTGCAGAGTTTGCTAAGGTGGCGGCTCTGAGAGAGGCGCCGGCTGCGCCTGCACGAATTCACGCGCATGCATGTGTTCGGATTGTTTCGCCAGGCCGGCTTCAGCTTCGTCGTGGCCCACTCCGAAGGCTTGTTCGAGCAGGCCGAGCCCACGCGCAAGGACGTTGAAGCCAACACGGAGGCGGCCACTTCAGCTGCGTTGCGTGCGTGTTAAGCGTGCGTCTTGTCGACCATTGTCAGGTGATAGCGGCGATCCTCACGGTGACGCCCAAGGCGCGGCTCTCAGAACTGGTTCTGGCGAAAGCCATTCTTGAGTTCTACGACGCGCAGAAGCTTGCCCCGTCCGGGATAAGCCAGCAGGCCCTGGCGAAGTGGGCAAGTCGAATGGCCTACGGCGCGCGCAAAGTCTGCCAGAAGTTTAAGCGACTGGTGTACGAGTCGCCGGGTGCTTCAAAAACAGGGGCTTTGCAAAGTCTGAAGGAGCGCTTGCAGGACCTGTGCCTGGGATCTCCCTCAACCTGCTGCCCGTCCTCGAGCTCGACGCCGCCACCCGCGCAGGTAACGTCTCCGGCAGCTGTGCCGGGCTGCCTTGAGGTGTTCGACCCGTGGGCAGTGCTTAAGCAGAAGATCGAGGCGCTCAAGACGCAACCTGCGCAGCCTGTGCACGCACAACCTCGCCAGCAGGCGCTCAAGCCTGAAAAGGGGCCACGCACTGGCAGCCCTGGCCGCCACAGTGTGCCCGAGCATGTGCTAAGTGCTCTGAGCAAGCTCAGCTGCTCGCTGCCGCCTGCCGAGCCCGTCAGCACGGCGCCCGAGGGCAAACGCAAGGCCAAGTCGCCTGCCAAGCCCGCAGTGCCCAAAGCTGCAACCAAGCCACCTGCAAAGAAGGCGGCCCAGAAGCAGAAGAAGTCTGCGGCGGCCAAGCTCAAGGCCGACGAGGACCTCGAGAAGCAGTTGGGCCTTGCTGCAGCCGGGGAAGCTGTCTACAAACCCAAAGAGTTCCAGCAGCTCAAGTCGGCTTTTGTGAGTCGACGCCGGTCCGCTGGCAACACCTTCGCAGAGGCCACGAAGGCGTGGATGCTCAGCTCGGAACGGGCGCTGTTTCTCACAACCTTGAGCGAGAAAGAGCTCAAGCGGCGGCGCTTTGCCTGAGGCAAAGCTTGGGGATGGATTTCGGTCCATGGGGTCGGGCGGAACTCAGCCCAGACACGTCATGCGCGAATTAGCGCGTTCGATCTCGCATTTCTGGCTGCAGCCCTGTCAGGGCTCACGTACTGTCGGGGGCCCGCGTGCTGTCGCAATGGTCGTTGCTGAAATGCTGGCCGCGGCCTGCCCGGAGATGTTGGTTCTCGCGGTGCTCCTTTTGTTGCACAATAGCGCCGTTCAGAGCAGCGCCCAGGTGCCCGGCCCGCACCCTTGTGTTTTCTCACCTTTTCTTGCCCAGGTCAACGACTTCGTGGAGTACTTTTGTGGCGCTGCTCGTGTCAGCGCCCAGCTCAGAGCCAATGGCTTCGCAGGTGCGTCCCTGGACATCTTGCTAGATGACGGGCGCGCCATGGACTTCACTGCCTCGGCTGGCTTTGCGAAACTCGCCGGCAAGGGGCTTTTCATGGCTGTAGTGGGCTGCCTGAGTTCTGAGGCTAGCCTTGCTGGCCATTGCGCGGAGCAAGCCGGGCTCCTTGCACTTGGTGGCCATTTGCTGCAACAGCTTTTGCGCTCCGCCCGGCCCTCAGCAACTCAGCGCCTCTGCTTGCAACATGTGGCTGCGTCTCACGCGTGCTGGCAGGGCTGCTGCCAACCACGGAAGGTCGCTTTTGTTTCCGGAAGGAAACCGCGGCTTTCAGTTTGTGAAAACAGGCAACTGCCTGGCTGCTCGTGTGGGCTTACTGCTTCGCTACATCGCAGCTTCGAAGGGCAGGCCTGTGAGCGCACGCGCTCGCATTTTTTTTTTGTGGGTAGGTGGCTGATGGAGCAGCCAGCTGGAAGCGCTCTCCCTCATCACCCTGCTGTGGCAAAGCTCTTCGAGGATCACAAGGACTCGGGCGCATGCGTTTCTTGGTTGATGCCAATCCACTTTGCTTGTCAGGTGCATTCCTGTGGCATTTGGGGCGGCGCGTACGGGGACGCTGGCAGATGCACCCCCAAACGCCACGCTATGTGGTCCAACGACCGAGAGCTTGTGAAGCGCCTGCATATTGCATCAGGCCACCTTTCCCGGGAGCAGCTGGATCTCTTTGGCGGCCCGCCACTCACCAAGAAGTACAGGAAGCCAGATGGAACTGCCGGCTACTCTGGCACGCCGCGCTTGAAGCAAAGCCAGCTGCATAGATGCAAACATTTTTTTGGTGCTTTGGCGGGCGCGCGTGCCCAGGACATACCCTGAGCGATTGGGCGCTCATCTGGCGGCCCTGCTTCGTGAAGCTCAGGCGCCTGAGTGGCCTGCAGGGCCCTTAACGCGGTGCTTCTTGCAGGTGCGCCTGCCCTTGCA